TAAATTTAATTAAATAGTTAATAAATTAAATGTTATTTTTTATTTTTTCAGTATTCTTAACCTATATCATTAAAGCACAAATAAAAAAAACTCATTTTTTAAATAAAAAGCAACTTTTTTGGTATAAAAATAATAGATATTTTTTATTTTTTATTTAAATTAAAAAATTTCGAAATACTTTATTATTCTATCTATTTCAACTTAGATAAAAATTTAAAAAATTTATAATAAAATGAATAATTAAAATTGAAAGATAATAATAATGCTAAAATAAAGAAAAACTATTCTGTCTTCCTTAAAGTATGAAAAAATGACTTCCCAATCTTATTTTTCTAAATAAAATTATGTTTATTATTTTGAGACAAAAAGAGTTAAAATAGTGGCCAACAACTTAAGTATAATATGGAAAAAATAGTGAACCAACAATTTAAATAATTAAATGGTAGTTTCCTTTTAGTAAAATTAAGAGTATTTAAATTTAAATTACATGGTATGCAGATAAGATAAATTAAGGGATAAGAAAAAATTATTTTTTATTATGTAATATAAAATAAAATAAAGTAAGTAAAAATAGTGCAAAAAGTATTTTATTTTCATTTTTTTAATTTTATTTAAATAATTTTTTATATAAAAAAGTGGCGATAAAGTACATAAAAACTAGTTAAAAAAACAGTGGCATTTCATTTGTATTGCCTTTGGATGCATATTTGCTCTCGGTTATCCAATGTAGAGCCACTTTGCAGCTCTTCATTTCATTTGTCTTTGCATTTCATTTGCATTGCCTTTTGCCTTTGCATTTCACTGAATCATCATCTTCATGAATTGCTGTTCATTTTTCTTTTATCAAATTACCATAACAATACAGCTAACTTGATGCTTTCTTGCCGTCGATGGACAACCATTTTGGTGTCTATTGCACATCAATTAGCTGCACTTTCATTGCAGCTTCAATTTATCATTTTTATAAATTTGAATACAACAATTTTAACCATGTTTCCAACAGGAAAAACTAGTACAGCTCATATCTTACACAAAAGAAAGGCATCTTAGAAGACTTAGAAAACGCGATTGTGGACTTGAATCACATTGGAAAATTGTTGGACGTTGAGCTCACGTCCTGATTTCTTAATTTAAAAGTATATGCACAGCTATTGTAACCTTCCAAAATCCTAACGTGCACTTAATTGTTTTTATTTATTATAGATATAGTTTTTATCTATATTTAGTGCTATAAATTATAATTATGATTTTACTTTAGGTACTTTTATATAAGATGATAAGTTGCATAGCTAGAATTTGAGATTAAAAGGGGCAGAATTATAAATTGCAAAAAATTCTCTTAAAAAAAAAGTTATTCAACATCCATAATTTCTTATTATTAAGATAATTTATAAATTATAAATAAAAATAAAAAACTATTTTTCAATACTAACTACATTTAAGTAATAAAATTACTAAAATACATTTAATAAAAATACTTTT